TGAGCTAGAAAATGGTCAACAAAGCTGTCTAAATATAATCAGTTACAGTAATAACTGAACTCTGTATTTACCATACCCTGGGATGGGTGGAATTTTATTTTATTTGCCTGTTTACTGGTCTGTCTGCCTCTCTCCCAGACTGAATTGCAGAAGGCCTGAGCCCTTTTCCCCTCCCTGCTGTCCACCCGTTACCTACCACAGTGCTCACGCAAAAGGAGAGCTTGTTGAGTGGAAGAGTGAAAAAATGAACAGATACCAGTGCCCCATTACTTCTCTTACAAACAGCAGGAAGAGAAGAAAATATCAAAACAATTTTCTGATTTAAAAAACTAATAATTTTTTCCCACTTTAAATTCTGCATAGCAAAATATATTTTTATTTCATTTAGCATATTTAACATTTCTATAAATTACTAATTTTCTTTTCTAGTTGTATTGGTTATACTAAACACAGTTGTTTTGTGAAGAAGGGGCATTGTTTTATTTTATTTTTATGTTTTTAAATATTTTATTTATATATTTTTAGAGACAAGGGAAGGGAAGGAGAAAGAAAGGGAGAGAAACATCAATGTGTGGTTGCTTCTGATGCACCCCCTGGGGAGAACCTGGCCCACAAGCCAGGCATGTGCCCTGACTGGGAATCAGTGACCCTTTCGTTTGCAGGCTCATGCTCAATCCACTGAGCCACACCAGCCAGGGACGAAGAGGCAATATTTTAAATTGCACAGATTGATTAATCCATCTTTTTGCAAATGCTGTCTCTTATGATCTTTCTTTTGGTAAAATATTATATATAATAAGTAGATTCTTTGCTTCAGAAGAGGAACAAATAAAAAAGAACTGAAAAACAGTTCCTCCACAAAAATGTGCCCTCCTAAGACACCAGATATCATTAACATCAGAAGTCTTAGGGTAGACACAATCAGGAAATAATAAACAAGATATAATTGTGTCAAGCAGAGGACTAGGACCCTAATAATACATTCATGCTTGACTTTTTCTACATTTACTTATTTGTTTACATGCACAAAAAAACAAAATAATATCCATTTCTCAGCTCTCCCACCAGAGAACAGAGACCTTCATAACACACACACATGCACCCCCAATTCATCTTTTCTCATCTAGTTCCACTCCACACTTTCCACCATATTGCCCACATATTTTATTATGTTTGGTTCTTTGTAATAATATCAACTTTCAATAGCATAAACATGAAACTCATTTTATCTTTTTCTATATAAAAGGCAATTTCAGAAGAGCATTAGGGCTTTGGGAAAAAGTCAAACCTCAGATAAGATGTTTTAAAGGTACAACTAAAAAAATCATCCAGGAATTTTAGATTCTTTATGTTTCAGACTTGAGAAAATATTATAATGAGGAAGATTAAATTATTAAAAGAACTTTAAGGGATAGGAAGGAATATTTGTAGTTTATTTTCATAGCACTGTCATGGAGAAGAGTCGATTTTACCATTTTTTAGCATGAACTTAAGAGTACCAAGCCTTGTCAGGGTAAAACTTTATCTTGCTTTAACAATGGCCTACATTCAAACCACATGGTGGACAAATTTAGGCAGAAAACTCCCCTGGTACATTGCAACTACAATTGCTGGATAAATGATTAAAAGGAAACCATTGTTTTTAATGCTATTAAATTGTCAGGGAAATAAGAGGAAGTTTTTGAAGAGCAATTAAGCACAAGAAACCAAGACTTCAGTGGAGTGGGTGTGCTCTGGAGTCCTGGGGTACCTGCTGAACCCTGGTGCACAAGAGCGGGTGTTTACCGGGCCATGGGCCATGGTGGTGCAGAGGAAGCCTGGGGCTGGATCTAGCCCTGCCCCTTCCCTCCCACCCCAGCTACTCACATCTTCCTCTGTGGAATGGGCCACTTGGTGGGAGGCTACATGGCTATGTCAGCAGTTACTCTGATGCCTAACTTCTCAACAGCCATAAGATAGTGGAATTGTATCCTCACACTATTGAGAAAAAATAAAACACAACCTAAAATTTTCTATCCTGACTAACTTCTTTCTGAGAATAAAGGTGAAATAAAGGAATTTTCTAATAAATAAGAACTGAGTATTTACTACCAACAGGCTTTCACCTGAGAGACTTTTAAAAACTATACTTCAGGAAGAAATGGTTAACATAAAAAGTAGACACATGGGTAGAGTTATTGAGTACATAAAAATAACTAACAATGTCTAGTGAGGTTAAAAAACATAAAACTAAAATCTGCAGTGACTGCCCTTTATACACTAATAAGAAGCAGGGTTAAGTGTAGTGAGAACCAAACCAGCTTGGCCAACAAGGCAAATCCACCTACCGGTGATCTCATCATAGTAACACGACATGACTATTTTATGGCCGTCATTATTGCCCCAGCGATAACTTGATTGTTCATTACAAGAACTTCCCAGAATAACCACTAACCCCTTCAACTCGAAGTATCAGCAGTTCACTATCTAACGTTGCTGAAGTCCTTGCCCGAAATTCCTTGCCTCGTTTCCACCCACTCTAAACTATTAAATCCCAATCCTTGCCCATTCTTAATCAAGGCTCCACAATAAAAGATCCATTTTTGGATTTGCTTCTTCCTCCCCAGACTCTATGAGAGCTGTCAGGGTGGTCTTCTCTGTCACAAAGGAAAGCAATAAACCCAGCTTTGTCTTATCAATGCCGTGTGGTGGTACCTTAGGAGCTAGTATTCCACAGTAGTTAAAATGACCTCAGGTACTTTTATATTTTGGGAAGGAGTTAAACATTGATTAGCTTTAGCTATTAAGTTAAATATGCATTTCTAAGATAACCATTAGAAACAGACTATTTATATAATGGTAAGCCATACATCAAGGTAAGAAAATGTTCCAAGCTATCTGCACCAACATGAACTAACTTTAAAAAACAGTGTGTTATTTAGTTTGCTTGTTTTGAAATGCATATCAAGTCACAAGAATAAACACTCAGTGTTATACCATTGATGCATATATATGTGTATATATATATATATATTTTAAACAGGCAAAAAATAATTGACTTTTTATAGGGCAGTGCATTGGGAAATATGTACGCATGCTACAATTATAGAGAAAATCAGGAGACAATGTAAAAACAACTTGACAATGATTAAATTTGCAGAAGTAAGAGGATATAATCAGGAAATAAATAAGAGAAGGGACTTCAGAACTATTGAGTGATTTTTCTTTAGTTTAGTCTCATAATGAGTGAGTTGAGTCACAACCTAGGTTAGACATACTAAATGATAGTTTAATTTTTATTATTTAACTATTAACATACATTATATACATACACACATAACTATGTACATACACAAACATATAATACTAATCACATACACAACCCACTGGGTGTGCGTATCATGTAGCCCTCTTAGCATTGATCTGTGGAAATTGGAACTAGAGAAAGAGGCACAAGAAAGTGTTAATACTCAGGCTACTGCTATTGTTATAATATGGCCCTTTGTCTCCAACCCAAGAGTCTCCTGTCTTCTATCAGCATCCATGAAATTGTAGTAGGCTAACTTGCTACTTTGCAAGTAGGACAGAATCTTAAACCTTTCACAAATTTTGGCACCATTATGAAATCCTATATATGAAGGGAAACAAGAGGTACAGTACGCTTGTATAGCAATGTGAAAAACTATCCAATATAGATGGTAGGGAAAATAGTTTTAGCATAAAATATGAATGATATCTAGGACAGCTGTTTCACCTCCCTGTGTCTCTATACATAGCTAGGACAGCTTCTGTTCTCAAAGTCTAAGATTATAGATGTACGAAAATATAACATGAAATGCGTAGTTGCAGAATGAAGAAATGTGAAGAAAATCTAACCGTGTAAATGTTAAAGATACAAATTTTGATGACAGCAAGCACAAAGTTTATTTCATCTGTATTGAAATATTTATCTGTAATCTACCATGAAATGAAAATTCTCTTTTAACTTGTATATCAAAGAAAAAATAAAGAACCCCACAAAGAAGCTCAAGTAAAATATTTTTATGATATACAAATGCCACTGAAGTGAAAAATCTTCAATAAGACCACCCAACCTTGAAAAGTGTATTCACATAGGATTTAAAGAGTAATATTTGTATGACATACAGTAGGTGGTCTTTTGCGTGGATGAAATACTCCAGCTGACTTTGGTTCATGAATGCTTCTAGGAGAATAATGATAAATTTCTACCAGTCAAAACATAATGTTAGCCTAAATTTCTAATTTGCTTTCAGAATTGTATTTTTTTTGTGTGTGTGATGAAATATTTGAACCAAATAGGACTAAGAGGTCCTGTGTGTGTGTATCCATATGTGTACTTATGAATACTGGATACTATGGGTAATATATACCCATAGATGCTGATTTTTCTTTTAATAGCTTATTGTTTATTTTATTGATTTAGCTATAGGGAGCTCAAATGTAAAATTTTTAGCACTAATGGTAACATGTATTTTAGTACAACTGCATTCCTTTAGTTGGCTTTTTATTCTCTACTCCTTATTTTTTAAAAGATTTTATTTATTTATTTTTAGAGAAAAGGGAAAGGGAGAGAGGGAGAGAAACATCAGTATGTGGTTGCCTCTCACAAACCCAGCTGGGGATCTGGTCCACACCTCAGGCATGTGCCCTGACAGGGAATCGAACTAGCAACCCCTTGGTTTGCAGGCCAGCATTCAATCCACTGAACCACACTACCCAGGCTCTATTCCTTATTTTAAATAGTTTTACTCTATATGTATATTTTACCATAAATTACCTTAAATTATTTTTAAAAGTACATAGAAACTAATGACTGCATATATATGTATGTATCTTGGGATTTTAAATGAAACATGGCTTAAGTAAGGTTGTAAATTTCTTGGATCACCAGAAAAAACATAACAGAACAAAAGATGGCATTTAAAATTACCAAAATGAAGCAACTTGAAAGACTATAACAGTTGCTACAATCTGTTGGTATTCCAAGTAGGATAACTTACTTGCATATGTCATCTTCTGGTTCTTCAAGCCCAAATCTTTCATCAAATGTAAGTTGTATCCATACATTTTCCTCTACTGCTACTAATCTCCATACCAAGACCATATTTCTTGGATAAGTATGAGGAAACTTTGGGCTGTGAATACTTCCGTTAGTAGACACAGTGATAAGTCTCTCATGCTGGGGATCTTGTACTCCTAAAACAAAAACATAGGCATAAACTTGTATTTAGAAAAGACATTTCAAGAAGTATAGGTTTCAAAATGCTTTTTAATCACCCACTTTTTACCCCTCAAAAGTATTAGATATGCATTATACAATATAAATTAAGTACCATTCTTTTCAGAATTTGCCCAGAAAAAAAGATTATTTAACATTATTGAATAAAAACCTGAGTTTATATTTATTCTTCAAAGAAATTAGTCTTTTAAAAACAAATTACTAAAACTTCAAACATCCAATTCATTTGGATTACTAAAATCACAATAAAGTTAACACTGCCATCTCCAAGACCTTATCAAATGGGAGACATATCAGAACAAAAGGAAACTTGATATTACACTAGTTTTAAAAGTACAAATTATGACTGACATCTCTGATCGTGATTAGGTTAGATAACTTTCAGTTCATCAAACCCTAGATTCTCTCTCTGAGCCTAATGTAATAAAGTTCACCCCTAAAAGAAGCTGGGTGCCTCCTAAAGTCAGAGAAATCCAAATTGTGCGAGAGATTCAAAAGGAGGGACATTCTTTGTTGCTGGCTCTGAGTGCGGAGGAGGCCACGTGCCAAGGGATGTGGGAAGCCTCCAGGAGCCAAAGGCTGTCTAAGGCTGACAGCTAGCAAGGAAATGGGACCTCACTCCTCAAACCTCAAGGAACCTGAAGGAACTTGGAAGCAAACTCTTCTGAACAGCCTCCAGAAAGAATGGAGTCTGGCTGACATCTTGATTTCAGCCACGTAAATCTCTGAGCAAGAACCTAGTCACACAGTGCCCAGATTTCTGACCTATGGAGCTAAGAGTAAATAAAGTGCAATTTAAACTGTTAATTTATGGTGACTTCTGGCATAACCACTAGAAAACAAATACGTCTTTTTGGGGGCACAAAGCTGTTTGGATGGCAAGTCATTTCTTTTCGCCCGAATTCTTTAGCAGCCATTACAATAATAGCAGCAACTTTTTCATTCAGTATTTGTTTTAGTGAAAATACATCACTGCACCCTGATAAAGTGTAATTTAAGAATTTTACTCTAAGAAATTGCTTGAACTTAAAAGACAATATCAAGGGTTATGTATTGGAAAGGTCATGTTATTAAGGTTAAAGAATAACTTTTTAATAGTTAAAATACCTCAAATAATTTTTATTTATGGTTCTTAAAGCAGTTTTTAAGTCCCTTAAACAGCTATTTCAACAGTTTTGTAATTATTATTTTATATTTTGTAACGCAATTAGGAAGACAAGGTAAATACAAATATAATATCCTTTGAATATATCCAGGGCACATTATAGGGAATACCATCATATTAGTAAAATATGCTTTAAGTGCCTAAATTTGTTCCTAAACTTGTCCTCAGTAGTCAGGAACCCCCACAGAAATATGCTCCCTCTTACTGGATGATATCGATTCTGCTGTTGTCTATATTAACATACATGAAATGATAAATAACTCTTTATGCCCATAATTTAGTACCAGTATATCTCCTAAGAAGACAGAGAATCTATCAATTAGATAATTTTTTGCTATAGTAACATGTTAGTAAGAAATAATAATTTACTATTAAATAAAATTAATAAATTGTGTGTTTTTAGAGGTTTCTTTTAAAAACAAGGTATTTCCTCATAAATTTTCATCCAATAACCTACATACCTCAGAAGGTGTTTATAGCAGTAGCTTATCTCAAGGGTCCTTCTTATTTTACAACTAATATTTTCAGTAAATCCAATCAGATTTACTAAAATTTAACATATGCCCTATTTTTATCTCAAAACAAATGCTTTATAATCCCAAATCACTCTTTATAAACATGCCAATGTATACTTTTTCATATACAATCTAGAAAACAAAATAGCTATTAAAAGATCTGAATTCTATTTTTATATCTTCAATCAAAAACCTCATATAATGTAGATACTGAAATTGTTTATTTATATCTTTTTTTACTTATAATTCACAAATCCATTAAACTAAAACGAAATATAATTTATAGACTGGAAATCTAGGCCTTATTTCTGGTAAAAGAATTATAAACTTTGCTCTAGTTACTGTCAGTTTGTTCTTTAATTCAATGTTTCTGGTTATATTTTGCTTGCTTGTTTGTTTTGTTGATTAGGTTCCACTTATATGAGTAACCAGAGGGGAGGGGAGACAGGGATAATGGGGGAAAAAAGGGGAGGCTGCATCAAGGCACGTGTATGAAGGACACATGGACAAAGTTAAAGTGGGTAGGTTCAAGGGTCGGAGGTGGGGATAGGTGGGGTAAGGGGTAGGTTGGGTGAAAATAGAGACAGCTGTACTTGAACAACAATAAACAAGAATTTACAGGGGAAATAAAACCTATGTCTAATTAAAAAAAATTGTAAATTTTCTAAGCTAAACTGTTGATCCCAAAAATTGATCTCAAATGCAGTGAGGTTGCCACCAAACACATATGATTTGCATGACTGTCAAAGTTTTATGGAAATCTCAAACTAACCCCATAATCAAAAAGAAAAAATAAAGCAACAAACATTAAGTTCTACCAAATTAAGACTCTGCATTTATATAGCTCAGTTGCTTTTAAAAATAATCTTTCCAAATATACAATTTACTGGTATTTTATGGATGAGCTTAAGTTTGTAACTATTTTAATGAATGTCTACTTTTTCTATATCCATTGAACAGTACACACAAAGAAAGTACCAATGAAATAAAATTGTTTGTAGTCAAGTCACTAAAATACTTACAACATCCTAAGCAAGAATAAATTATTCATCATAGATGAGTTTAGCATGAAAATGAAAATGTGTACAAACACTAAATTTTTTAAATGATAAATATAGACTCATATTATGCTGCACAATCCCTCTTGAGGTAGAAGTATCAAAAAGTAAAATTAAACAAAGATAGAAAAGAAAAGGAAAGAAGGGATGTTAATGATGCAAATACTATAACATTGTTGATTACGTATATACACATACAACTGTATAGAGTCATTGTATATTCATATGTATTCAATAAGTTGAGGATTAAAATAAAAATAATTTCCTAATGTTTGCCATGCTGTTAGCCCTTTAAAGATAACGGTATTAGAGATAAAAGAGGGGAGGAATAAGAGGATCATAAAAAGAGATAAAATAATAATAATAATTGAAAATTCTATGCTATTAAAAAGATAACACTAAAAAAGAGCTTTCTGGATAATATATATAAAACTCATAAAGAAAGATAAGCCATCCACTTTCTTCTCCAATGTCTTAAGTTGATTTCTGAAGGAAAGACCTCTAATACTAGGAATTAGGCACAAAGAAATGAGTCTCCAATCTTGGTTGAGTTTTAGAGTGCTGAAGAATTCTGGTTGCTGTTTCACACAGGCGAGACTGTGGTGACATGTCTCACATAAACTGGTAGACTTCACAGATGTTCTGTGCAAGTTCTGATCTGTTAACTTCCAAATATATGTTAATTTCAAATTGTGTCTAAAAAAGTATTTCCCTAAGTCAGTTACATCTATTTTCAAATCCTTACTTGACAAATAACACATACTCACTAGTTTTATTTTTGCTTTGATCTGCTCTCTGCTTTTTCTCCTGTGGTAATCCTTCTTTATCCTCATCTTGCTACTTTGTTTATGATAGCTATTTCTATTTCCACTCTCATTAACTCTCAACGAAGAAATCACACTTTTAGCAATAGTTAAAATCATACGGCCTATGCATGTAAAAGCTAGTTTAGTTCTACTATGATTGGCACCGTTCTGCCCAGGAAATCCAGAGTAACCTCATCATAATTTTCTTTGATTCTGTAAGGAGAAGATATACCTGAGCTTCACACGGCACACAAATATCTCTACATAAATCCCATATGATATAGAAGTGCCCCATTTTCATGTTCAGTATTTTAAATTCTGACTATTAATGCAAAAATCTAATATATTAGATAGAAAATTCAGATGCCATCATCTCAGTGTACTATTTACCATACCTTTAAAACACTAGAAACATGAAACAAAGATAATCAACAAAGTTAGTATTTACCTCAAACTATTTACAAATTACATGAATAAATGTTCATTAAGAAAAAAATAAGAGGTTGCTACAGAAAGTAAACCATAAAACAATATATTTAAGATGTGCTTAATTGAGGTTCTGGAATTTATCCTAAAAATAATCACTTTATTCCTCTAAGGAAATGAATACTCAAAAATCATATATGGAGAATCTACTATGCTTCACACACTGTTCCAGGTGTTGGGACATCAAAAACAAAACAAAGCCTTGTCCTCTTAATATGACAACTTGTGGGACTTTAACTGAGCAACATTACTCGACTAAGTATACTAATAAACTAATATTCAACTATAAAAACCCACTTCAGATGTTACTTAGTTTACATGTCATTCCAAATTCCTGTGTACATCCTTTAGCACTGCATATTTTAATCATAATGTATGGGTTGATCTTTCTTTCTTTTCTATCACATTATAAATTCCCGGAAAACAAAACTATTTTTATTGAAGTCCACAACCAGTATCTAGCATTGTGCTCAGCACATGGCACTACTTCATACACAGCGAGAGTAAAGAAATTTGATATCCCAAAACATTTTAAAATTTCAGCCTTCAGTCGTAAATTTCCAGAGACTATCCATACAAAAAGATTTGACAATTTATACAAGGGGGGACCCCCTCACAAAAGGAATTATCTACTGGAGAGTGAGACCCTTGTAGTACAGGCTTCTCCTGCTAGGTGAGTGTTCTAGGAACCCATCTGTACCAGCTGTCATTGTTCTGAGAGGCTGGCTTTGGCTTCAGTAAATTTTTTTTGAAGACTCAACGCATTTGCCCATTCATGATGGGTAATTGACAAGTGCACCTGTCCATACCATGTTGAGTGTTCAGCAGTTTTTTACCAAAAACAGCATGACTCCTGTGACCCCCCCACCCCACTCCTTATTCACCCAATTTTGCTCTGAGTGACTTCTTTGTGTTTCCCCAATTGAA